GTCGGACTTTTATATCGAGTAGGGCTTGGATCTTTTCAGGGTTCACCTTATGCCTCGCTGATTTACCATTACCCTAGGAACTTTCCTGATGATACTCGACGAAGCTTAAGAGGGTTCAGCTTCATTCTGTAGGTCGGAGTATGTCAAACATTCAGCGAGATGCGAAATATGGTCGTGGCGGCCGGGATTTGACCAGCATGTCGTCCACGTAGACCTCCATTGTCCTTCCGATCTGGTCGGAGAACATTCGGTTGACCAACCTCTGGTAGGTCGCACCTGCATTCTTGAGGCCGAAGGGCATGACTTTGTAGCAATAAGCCCCCGGTCCGTGATGAAGGTAGTATGCTCCTCATCTGGCTTATACACGGGATTGGTGTATCCCGAATATGCATCCATGAAGCTTAACAGCTCGTGCCCCGAAGTGGCGTCAACGAGCTGGTCGTTCTTGGAGAGGGAAGCTTCTTTTTGGGCAAGCCTTATTCAGGTCGTGAAGTCTACACAGGTTCGCCACTTGCGGTTGGCTTTTTGACCAGAACCGGGTTAGCAACCCAGGTCGGATAGAGAGCCTCGCGAATAGACCCATTGCGGAAGAGGTTCTCCACTTCCGATTTTAACGCGGCGTACCGCTCCGGATCCATTGCCCTTCTCTTTGGCAACTGGCTTAGTTCACTGTTGAGTTCAGGGGTGACAAATAACGTTCGGGTCGATCCCGACCATGTCTGTGCTGCGACCAGGCGAACACATACAATGTTCTCTTCAAGAGCTATTAGCTCAGAGGCGAGCTGGGGCTGAGACAGCTTCGATCTTTAGCGTTCGGCTCGGTTCCTTGGATCAACCGACACCTCGGACAGATCCTCCACCGGACCGCTCGGGGGGATTTCCTAAACTCGCGGATCTATGTTATCCTTGTCGGACCAGGCTGTGGCTCGGTCCGGTGATGCCCTAGGTGGCGTGGTGCACATCGCGTAACGCCCTTTCCTTGTGGCCATCTGGACCGATTTTACATAGCATTCGCGAGATGCGCTCTGCGATCCGTTACCTCCTATCGTTGGAGTGGGGAACTTCATTTTGAGGTGATAAATGGAAGTGACTGCCCTGAAAGTTCTCAGTGAGGTCGCCCTAAGATCCATTAAGGCTGATGGGCAGTCCACGACCAAGAATTCTGTAACCCTAGTCACTTCGTCGTAATCGCCGAGCGTGACTGGGAGCTGGATCGTTCCATTGGGGATCAGGTGATCCCCTGTAAAACCATACAGAGGCATCGAGGCTGGCTTCAGGTCGGCCTCGACCAGGTTCATTATCGAAAGCGGATTTGAACAGAATGTTCACAGCGCTTCCGTTGTCCACAAGCATTCTGCAGACATTATGACACCCTATCAGAGGGGTGATTACCAGGGCATCTTCGTGAGGGTGGTGCAAGCGAGCTGCCTCTTTCTCACAGAAGGTGACGGTTCCTCTTTCTGAGTTTTTGAGGTGCTGCGAAGTGTTCATTACCCTAATCGGGTCGTGCGACGCTTCGCGAGCATATCGCTCCTGCGCTCCGGTGTTTCTGCGAGGTGCGGGCCCCCGAAGATGATGTTAACACTGCCGTAGCCGCTGCGATCACGGCGTTTTTTCTTTCGTTCCCCTTGATTTCTTTGCGGGAGTCATCAATGTACTCTTGAAGTGCCCTTCTTGATGAGCTTTCGATAGTGCTTTAGAGCTCGGCACATCAGTGAGGGCCCATTATCCCGATGGTAAGGCAATACTTTTGCGTTCCTGGCGTAGTAGGGGTTTCATGGGCTCGGGCTCGCCGAGCAAGCTGGCCTCCTCGGATTTGTCGAGGATTGCGGATACGGACACATTCAGGGAGTAATTGGGTCGCGTCGCGATCGCGACGAGGACAGGAGCATAGGAATTTTCTGCCATAGCGGGGTTTTTTCCCTTTTCGCTGATCGGCAGTATCTCTTTGCGATCAGCTCGCTGTTATCTTCCGACCAGGCGTGCTGCTGGATGGGCCGTGGTCGCGACGACGGAGTGCTGCCAGGGAATTCTCAACCGGAGAGCTTTTCTGCCAGGCTGTGGAACCTGGTGAGGGAAATGTTGTCCTCAGCCTGCAGTTCTTTCCACAGGTCGGTTTGCGGGGAACTCCGCTATTATGAGAGTTCGGATGGACTCTTCTGGTGCGTGAGCCACTTTGTTGAGCTCCTGTGAAACGATCATATAAGACTGCAGGGATTCGTCTCTCTCTTGCCTTATATTGCTGAGGTAGCTCAAAGGCATTGAATTTCGGTTGGCTTGAAAATGCCGGAGGAACGCTGTGTCATCTGAGCCCACGAACAGATAGATCCCGCCGAGAGCGACCTAAAACAACGCTTGGCATGAGAGGTCAGTGTCACAGCAAGCAGCGGCACTTCGCAAGGTCCGAAACCTGGTGGAGCTCCATCAGGTCGTTGAACTCATATAATGATCCTGCGGATGTAGTTTCCATCGAACGGTCGATATCTGGCATTCTGAACCCTGGTGGAAGCGGAGCAGCTAATACTTCAGGGAAAACGGGGATGTAGAGGCGACCTGCGCCGTCGTTTTGCTGCTCCTCAGCCTATCCAGAGCTCGCTGGAGCTCCTCAATCTGCGTAAAGGGGCCAAATGGGGGTCGTTTTCACCTATGCGAGCCGGCCCCTGGTTGCGGTCAGGACAGTTCGGAGGTCGGATCCTCCTCACTCGGCCCGCATTTCCAGCCGCGCTCGACACACGCGACTAGAGACGCGCGAAGGTGGTGGATAACGGGGGCACTTTCACGACCCCCGCGGTGGTATGAACCGCCCCGCGAGGTGTGGTGGCCACCGCATGAGAACGATGGGGATCGTCCTGCTGGTGGTGATCGGATCATCGCGCCCAGCTTTTCGCTGGGTTTGGTTGCGACGTGGTGGACAGCTCGGGATTCACTTTTTCGCCGAGTCTTAATTTTGCGATATCCTGCGGGGCCTTCTGTACTTGCTGGCCTTGGGAGCTTGGAGGCTTGCTTTTTGCCACTTGCTTACCCTTGCGCTTTCGCGTGCAGTGCGCGCGCACGTGCTATTCCCTTTGCGTGCTTTCGCGCGGCTTGCAGGTGTTTTGGCGGTTGCACCGCACCGGTTGTCGCGGACAGACATGCCTTGGTCCAGACGGTCCAACTCTGGTTGACCGTCTGGAGAGTATTGTCGAACCTCTCCAGGTAGCTTCGAATGACAGGGTCCAGTTGCGGAGCCGTTGGGGTATTCCCAACAGCATTTTGCGAAACTGGAGGGTGCGTTGGAAGGGGTGCCCCTCTGGGCTGGGGGGACTCCTTCTGCATGTTGATTCCCCTGCTCAGGTTCAGATTGGGGGCCATTGTAGAGTGTGAGACCAATAGGTCAAAGGTTTCCTGATGAAGGATAGACGCTAAATCAGGCCCTCCTTCTAGCGCCAAACTGTTGATGCTCGATTGCGCACCAACCAATTGTCACGTGGGTGACACTGTTTTATGAATTTTATGCTCGTGACAATGGATGCCTTTCACAGAAATAAATGAAAAGGGGTTTTTAAGTGGTTCGGATGCTAAGGTAGCAAATCCTACATCAATCGTTTGTATTGATGTTGGTGTGGTCAGGGCGTTAAGCGGACTGACGTACAAGAGAGTTAATAAAAGAACTTTGTCTTACTTTTTACAGAGAGAGAGAGTTATCTCTGGGTTATGAATGAACCAACCCCCTTAATGGTGAGGTTTTCTACATTTTAATCGAATTGAAGCGTGAATCATCAATAAATCTACGGGTTGGTGTGATTGTCAGGATATTATCGTCTTCACGTCCCGTTTTCCCTTTTTCCAAGCTGACTTTGCATGTCTCGCTGCAGAGAAACGGACGCGTGTGAGCTCATGCTTATTGCAGGTTGACGTGCGTACATTGTCCTGACGGGGGCAGGTCACCGTAATGCGAATCATCCCACGTCAGCCTTTGTTTTCCCGGGTATAACAATCATATACACCCTTCTTGTATTATAACACGATTACCTCTTTTATAAGCATTTTAATTGTTCCATATAATAAGTAAATCAACGATTCCATATGTTTTATGTGGATCAAAAGCATGATGAGACTGTTGAATAACATCAAAATATGTACCGTTAATTTTCAAAACTACTTCTGTGATGGTCATTCAGATTATATGATAAGGGTGGATAAAATATTAGAATTTGACAAATAAGTGGACATATGCCATTATGTTTTTGAACAATCTCACCGTATAAAATGAGGAGGTATGCAACCGTGAGGTTGGTCCAGTTGATAACTGGACTCCAAGTGAGACGAACTTTATCTATATGTTAGGGGTTTAAACCATACAAGAGAACTTGTGGCAGGGGTACTTACCCGCCCTAGTTGGGATAGTTCATACATTTGGGTAGAGGAGAAAAAAAAAAGTGAGAAGGTTGCGTAATTTCTCCTAGTAAAGAAGTGTAACCAACTTTGAATAATTGAATAGATAGCAAATATTATTGTCAACACTATCCCTGGTCCAAAGCTCAAAATCCTCCTACTTCAACCACATGCCTCAGTATTTCTAAAAATGGGGTGCCATCCAACACACTATAAATCATCCTTGGAGATGAGTTCTTCCTCATCTAAGTAATTTACTTTGTGTTTTTTAATTTCACTGAAAAAAAAAAAAAAAACTGAAAGATGAACCAACCCAGAACGCAGGTTCTCAAGCAGGCGGGTCACAGGCCAAGTTCAGGTGAGGTTAGCTGCAATCCGTGAATGGGTTTCTTCTGTTGCAAAACACATTATGATTGACGTGAACGATAATGATGATGAAAGTTTACATTTTTTTTTTTTCCAGGAAAAGACCGGCCAGGTGGTGGATAGGTTAGCAATGCTGCTCAAGCTGCCATGGAATCATGCCAAGAGGTATATATAAACAAACCAAAAAATTATATTTCCATATATAGATGAATCTATCGTTTTGAAGCTCATGACCATGATAAACAAATTAATGTGTGCAGGCTGGTCAGCAAATTAAGGAAAAAGCTCAGGGGGCTGCTGGTGCTGCCAAGAATGCTGTTGGCCTCAACAAATGAAACCAGTGGAGGAGTAATTCCCCAACCTGCTTGATACTCTTCAAATAGTTCAGCTTAAGTTAATTGTTTTTCCCATTGTTTTGCTCGTCAAGAGCTGGATGTTTTTGGTTCTTTCAACTTAAAGAGAGGATTAATGAATTGCTTCTAGTTTTTTATAATGTGATGCTCCTTCATTTTTTCATTACTAATTTAATGATTAAAATTAAGATTCTCTGAAAACACATTCTATATAAATATCACACAAGTGCGATTTCAAGGATTTATGAAATGGGTTCAGAATATCGAGTAATAAAATTGAAGTGAATATCAGAATATGTATCAGATACCAAGCAAATGATCACACAACTCAACAGGATGCAAACCATCCTGCATGAAAGAATCTACAACTCAAACAAGAAAGTAATGGATACTTGAACTGCTTAAGGAAATCTGAAAACAAAAAGAAAAAAAAAATTATTATCTACGTCTTGCCAGGCATATTTCAGATTTTCAACAATAGCAAAGGGTCTTCATCTGCTCAACACATTTGCCTTATACTATCAAATGCAGGAATCATACATAGGTTCTGTATCTAGAAATATATACAATAATGTCCCCTACCCAACTCCTCTAGTGAGACTCTGAGAATAAGGTATTATTATGTATTGTTCTTGTCCATCGGTGGACTTCGAATTTACTTCGAATTTTTTACACACCTCAAATAGTGGGGCTTAAAGTGCATTCGAACTCAAGATATCATCCATGGATAACTTAATTCATACTCTTTGACTCATTTCTATGGATGATATCCTGAGTTCGAACACACTTTGAGCCCAACTAATTAAAGTGAGTAAGAGATAGAATGGTCTATTCACCATGAACTTTTTCTAACAATGTTATCTAAAAATAATAATTTTTCCCATCATGTTAATCAATCAAATATTGTCCAATGAGGCTTCAAGCCTGATCTCTGATGGCAAAAAGCTAAGACCTTCAAAAATATCCAAAACCTACTGATCGTTCTTTCTCGAGGGGAAGATGTTATCAATTCATTTAGTAAAAATCCTACCACCTAGCTGAAGATGATAAAAGTGATCAGAAGTCTTGAGCCAAAGCAAGAGAATAGGAGACATGATCTCCATGTGGCAGTTTCTTCATTAACGCTGTATTAGTCATCTCTACATCGGAAATACAGAAATAGCAAAATATTGTCGTCAGCATCTCTGGTCCAAAGGCCAAAATTTGCTCCAACTTAAACTATATTGAAACACATCACATGGAATCACAGATGTCTAGAAATGGCGTGGTATCTATTCACTAGAAAGCGGTGTAGGTTATGAGTTCTACCTCGTCAAAGCGACTAAGTTTTGAGTTCAGTTCCTACTGTCTTTTGCGTTAATTCCAGAGAAAACTGAAGATGGAGCAATCCCAGAACACAGGTTTCCAAGCTGGCCAGGCCACAGGCCAAGCTCAGGTGACCTCTTATATAAATGAACATTGACATTCCTTAATTCCAGTTCAACATCCATGATACATATTGCATATTCTTGAATCATGTAATGATGTAAATATTTACATTTTCTTCCAGGAAAAGGGCAGCCAGTTGATGGATAAGGCTAATAATGCTGCTCAATCTGCCAAGGAGTCGTGCGAACAGGTATATATACAAAGCGAAAAACTTACACCTAGAGATGAATATATTAGCAGACAATAAATCTTCTAAATATTCCAGAAACATAAGCACATACATTACTGAAATTAAAACACTCTGTAAGACTACAAGGGGTTGAAGTTCATTCAACTAACCAGGCTGAATTGTCGTTGAAGTTCATGACTAATGATAAACAAATGTATGCAGGCTGGCCAGCAAATGCAGGATAAAGCTCAGGGTGCTGCTTATGCTGCCAAGAATGCTGCTGGAATCAACAAATGAAAACCAGTGGAGGAGTAATTCCCCAACCTGCTCGATATTCTTCAAATAGTTCACCTTAAGTTATTTGTTTTTCCCATTGTTTTGCTTATCAAGAGCTGGATGTTTTTGTGTCCTTTTCTTTTCTTTGTTTCTTGTCACTAGAGTGTTCTTTCAACTTAAAGAGAGCTTTAATGAATTGATTCTAGTTTTTAATAGTGTGATGCTCCTTCATTGTTTCATTACTATTTTTATGATTAAAATTAAGATTCTCTGAAAACACATTCTATATATCGCACAATTGCGATCTCAAGGATTATATGAAATGGGTTCGGAATCTCGAGTAACAAAATTGAAGTGAATATGTATCAGATACCAAGCAAATGATCACACAACTCAACAGGATGTTGAAAATTTATTACAAATTAACAGCAAAACAGGAGAAAATCCAGCAGCAAAACAGTGGAAGAACGGCAGAAGAACGGCAGGAAGACAGCAAGAAAACAGCAGGAAAACAGCAACAACACAACAGCGAAACAGCAGCAAAATGGAACAAAAGAATTCCTTGTTACCATTAATCTGCTCTTGCGACCGGTTTATCAAAAGCATTGGGTGAATATGGGAGAGACGATTGTACTGATACATATCCATCCTAGTCAAACTCAGGAATTTCTCAACAAGAAGAGAACGGATATATTTTAACGTGAATCAGTTTTTTTTTTTAATATTAATTTCCACATTAGTATTTTAAAAATTAAACTTATATTTGTTGTGTCATATCTGAATTGAATGAACTTCATGCAAAGAGAAAAGGAACAGGATTTCAAATAATTAAAGAAATATCATGGAGGTTTCAAGTTTCAACTTAGGTGACTATCTGTTTATATTTTTCAAATAAAGCATATCTCTGTATTTGAATGACCAGTTACCACTTATCAGGGACATATGTGAATAATTTAAAGTACCAAATCCAAGAAAAGTTTGTTAGAACCAAGAAATAGACTACCAACTTGGAGGGGTATAACAATGCCACTTTCTTGAAGGAAATTTCGCCCATTTATTAATGCAAATAGGGTCAGCAAATTTCTTTAGGGTACAGTAAAAAAAATCTCATTATGTTATGCACAAAACAAAAGCAGAGAGTTTTGGTTTTAATAGAATTGTAGTGGTTTTTCTTTTCCATTGTACTTCTACAAAAAATTCAATTCCTTATATAGGATTGTTGGTATCTTTTAAATGAGAAGGTATCTTTTGTAAAACCATTTTGAGATATGAGTACAACCTTTTGAAGAGATATGACATTTTCTAGAGATATGACCTTTAGAAGAGACACGACCTTCAAAAGGGAAACGTTTGAAGATACATGACATTTAGAAAAAATATGACCTTTCAAAGAGAAACCTATTGATAATGGACATGCCCAATTAGGAAAAATGTCTCACATAGTCTTGGTTCAATTAAAATCTTAGCAAGATAAAACGGTTTATTCAACATGAACTTTTTACAAACAATGTTATCTAAAAAGAATAATTCTTCCCATCATGTTAATCAATCAATATTGTCCAATGAGGCTTCAAGCCTGATCTCTGATGGCAAAAAGCTAAGACCTTCAAAAATATCCAAAACCTATTAATTGTTCTTTCTGGAGGGGAAGATGTTATCAATTCACTGAGTGAAAATCCTACCACCTAGCTGAAGATGATAAAGTCAGAAGTCTAGAGCCACAGCAAGAGAATAGGAGACATGATCTCCATGTGGCAGTTTCTTCATTAACGCTGCATTAGTCATCTCTACATCAGAAATAGCAAAATATTGTCAACAGCATCCCTGGTCCAAAGGCCCAAATTTGCTCCAACTTAAACCATATTGAAACACATGTCACATGGCATCACAGATGTCTAAAAATGGCCTGGTATCTACACACTATAAAGCGGAACAGGTTATGAGTTCTACCTCATAAAAGCAATTGAGTTTTAGTTCCTACTATCTTCTGCGTTAATTCCAGAGAAAACTGAAAATGGACCAATCCCAGAACACAGGTTTCCAAGCCGGCCAGGCCAAAGGCCAAGCTCAGGTAACCTCTTACATAAATGAACATTAACATTCCTTAATTCCAATTCAACATCCATGATACATGTTGCATAATCTTTAATGATGTAAATATTTACATTTTCTTCCAGGAAAAGAGCAGCCAGATGATGGATAAGGCTAATAATGCTGCCCAATCTGCCAAGGAGTCGTGCCAACAGGTATATATACAAAGCGAAAAACTTACATCTAGAGATGAATAAAGACTAGAAGCGGTTGAAGTTCATTCAACTAACCAGGCTGAATTGTTGTTGAAGTTCATGACTAATGATAAACACATGTATACAGGCTGGCCAGCAAATGCAGGATAAAGCTCAGGGTGCTGCTGATGCTGCCAAGAATGCGGTTGGAATCAACAAATGAAACCAAAGGATGAGTAACACCCACCTGCTCCTCTTCGAATAGTACACATTTAATCAGTTTATTTGTTTTTTAGCTCATCAAGTGCTGGCTGTTTTTTTGTGTCCTTTTCTTTTCTTTGTTTCTTGTCACCGGTGTGTACTTCGAACATAAAGAGAGAGCTTTAATGAATTGTTTGTAGTCTTGAGTCTTCAATCACTTTTCCTAATCTTTGAGATGCATTCAAATAATATGATGCCCCTAGTCTGAATCTTTTAGCAGGTCACTGATAAAAGAGTCTCGGACAACACATTCCATTAATTCAATAGACCTAGTAGCCATATATCACACAATTTTTATTCAAAAATTTATGAAATCGGCTCAGATTGTGGTGAAGAATACCATTGATATATATCAGATTGCAAGCAAATGATCATAACTCAACAGGTTGCAAACGATCGTGCATGAAAAAGGCTACAATTCGAACAAGAAAATAATGGATACTTCAAACCAAAAAAGGAAAAATTCTATCTACTCCTTGCCATGCAGGAATGTTTCAGATTTGAAAAGCAAGATGTAAAGTAAAAAAATCATGCTCAAACAACTGTAATTATCTCCTGTTATAAAGTAAAAAACAACATTTATCTGTAAATCACTGCTGCACAATCTCCAGAAAAAATTGACC